CGATACATTCAAGTCTAACATTTTTTTAGATTTCAGAGTATTTGTTTTTAAATTCTACTTTTTTTAATTGTAGTAATTTCAGTTGATAACACTATATATAATTCAGAGGCCCAGGTTCGTACGAATTCAGATGTATGTTAGGTATGTACACCATACCTACCACCAAGGTACCTGTAGTCCTCCACTTGGTCCATTGGGCCCCTCCATACTCTACTCTTCACTTCTCCTTCCCCTATTGGTAGCCTCAGATTTCTAGGATTTGTTTTGGTTTGGTTTTGTCTGTTCCTTTATTTTCTTTTTCTATATCCCATATATGAGTAAAATCACTTGGTATTTGTCTTTCTATTTCTGATTTACTTCACTTAGCATAATCCCATCCATGTTGTAACCAATTGCAAAATTTCACACACACACACATACGTGGATTCAACTTGTCTGTCATCAGGTATTTAGGTATTTAGGTTGTTTCCATAATTTAGCTGTTGTAAATTATGCTGCAATGAACATAGGAGTGCAAATATTCCTTCAAATTAGTGTTTTGCATTCTTTGGATCGGAGAGAGATTGCTAGATAATATGGTACATCTATTTTTATTATTCTGAGAGATCTCCATATTGCTTTCCATGGGAAACTGACACTAACAGTGTACAAAGTTCCTTTTCTCCACATCCTCACTAACACTTGTTCTGTTTTGTGTGTGTGTGTGTGTGTGTGTGTAAGTTTTCTAATCATACCCATCTGTATATTTTCTTTGGAAAAGAGCTTTTATTTAGCTCTTCTGTCCATTTTCTTTGACTGGGTTATTTTTTCCCCTTGTGTTGAGTTGTATTTTTCTACTTTTAATCTGTCCTTTTTTTACAGAGTGTGTCAGTCAAGCACCACCCCTACAATGTTCAGCCTTGTGAGAGTTAGGGTGGCTTTATAACCAACATTTTTCATTTTTCAACAAATATGTATGGAAACACTTTTTTTAAAAAAAAAAAAGATTTACTTATTTGTGCATACAGAACTGGGGTACAGGTCAGAGGCTCAGGGGCAGCAAGAGGCTTCACCAGAGACAGAGTGGGGAGCAGAACAGGCAGAATGATGAAGTACACTGCTGAGGGGAGCAGCAGGCGGGCCAGGAGAGGTCTGCCACGCCATGTGGTCACCTCCGGGGCAGGTGGGAATCAAACTCATGCGGAAGGGGCTTTAGCTTCCCAGTGCAGTGCTTTAACCCGCTGCGCCACCAGGGAGGGCCTGGAAACTCTGTTTTTTAAAGAGCTCACATAGTTACTGAGGACACAGCAGTATACTATACTGGTGTATGAATGATCCAGTTGCTCCACTTCTCAACAGCAGTTGGTGTTACACTTTTTTTTTTTTTTTTTTTAGCTATGCTGTCTGTATATCCTCTTTAGGAAATGACTTGACTGTTCAAGTCTGGCAAGCTTTTGAAAGTTCACATGCATTTCTATACCAAGGTTGTGACCTTGCTCTCTGTTCCTTGAAAAGCGATTTGCCCAGTACATTATAAAAACACTATAAAACTACATAATGTAATAACATTTTTGACATATTCCTCTTCACTAGATTAGAGGAATAAATTAAGTTTTACCTTTTTTCTTTTAATGTTTCCAGTGTACACCATATAGTTAAATGTAATAAAATTCAATTTCCTTTGCTGAAATCTCCAAAGCTTATTTTTTTTTTAAACTAAATGCATTTAAATTAATGTGGCTAGGAGAACTATTGGTATATTTAGTTTGTAGTAATCTTACTTTATACAAACAACTTTAATGTTTTTTTGGAAAAAGACCCATCATTGTAAAAAAATACACTTGAGAATAGAGAAAACATACATTACCAAAATTCTCTCAATCTGGAGATAAGCACTGTTAATCTTTGATGAGCATACTCCTACATTTTTTTCTGTATATAATATTCTTTGCAGGAGTAATTTACACTGGAAATACCAAGGGTGGAGATACACCAGTTGCTGTTGAAGAAGCATAAACAGGTCCTACCAACTGTACATTTTGAAAAATAAAATTTATTAAATCAATAAAACAAAATAGGCCCACAATTTACATAATTGTTTAAAGATTATTCTGTACCCTTGTTTCTCACAAAAGTAGTTACAGACTTTATTCCATAGGATAGGAAGTCATAGATTGTCATTATTTTAAAGTTCGGCACAGTATCCCATTGTGTGTGTGCATATATGTGTATATATGTAGGTGTGTTTACTTAACCAGCTTCCCTATTAATGGATATTTAAGTTATTTCCAGTTTTTTGCTATCGTAAATAATATTTTAATAAATGTTCTTATGGGGATAGCTTTTTTGAATTTTTACATTTATTTGCTTAATCTCTATAGAAGTGGAAGTACCAAATCAAAGATATATATGAATGTATAATTATATATATACACATATATATATATTAGTATATATGAATATGCATATATATAATTACATAGTTTGTTTACAGGCTGCTTTCAGCCTTTTAGAAAGATATGTGTCAAATTACATTTTCCTCTGCACTGCCTGAGTAAGATTGTTTCTCAAACTTTTGCTTGTGCCTCCCTTCCATTACAGTTCTCTTCCCTCTCCTTTATGTGGAATTTATCACATACAGCCAAATAATTTTTTATTGTTCTCATTTAAAATCATTTATAAACCATTAGCTGAGATAGCACAGAGCTTTGGGAGGGTATCAGTTAAATCATCTGGTATTATGTTCATCTAGCCTGTTCTTTCCTGGCCATCTTTATGGTATGGAAAGTGGTATGGTTCATTGGCTTCATTATTAAGGAAAGTGAAAAGGAGAAGCATCATATCAATGATATTTACTTGTGGACAGAGGGATTAATATTAGCAGAAAAAAACCTCAAGATTACTGCTAGACTGCCAGAATTTCAGAGATAGAAAGCAGTGACAAGTAAATTACACATAAGACATAAAATCTTACTTGCAGAATAGAGATTATTGTAAAATTGGTTAACCTTGCAGTTTAGGGTCAGTTGAAAGCTTTCTTTCTTTTTTTTTTAACTTGATCATTCAGTGAAGTGCAGCATTTATGTTATCATTTAGGAAAAAACACCTTACACTGACATTCTCAAATTTAAAGCATGGACAATTTTTGGTAGTTCTTGGACTTAGTTTTCAAGGTCCAGGAGATAGCTAGCTTAATGAGTATACTTACTCATTATGAGATAACATTAATCTTTTGCTTACAAACTTCCTGAGATGGAGTAACAACACTAGGACTGAACATAAAATAGTAATTGGGAAACATATTCATGGTATAGCACCCAACACTAGATAAGAATTCAGTTACAATATGCCTCTTACATATTTAGAATATCTTTTCATTGGTATCTTTAGACTTTGAATGCATGTAAGGCTAATTTGTCAACAGTACATTCTCCCTTCTCCAATCCACAGGAATCTTGGATGTGAGGAAACTAGTGTGAAATGTTTGCAAATTGCTACTTTTTTTTTTTTTTGGAGTGAGTTCTTTTATATTAAATATATAGTGAACAGTGGGACTTTGTAACTACTGTATATTTGATTCTTATTAATAACAATGCAATAGCAAAATACCTCATTCTATGAGGTTTTCTCCTTTTCTGGGTATGTTAGGCATACAGGTACTCTGTGGTAGATATCCATGTCTAGCCAAATGCAATAAAATCTGGTAGGATGATGGAGTGGAGTCAGTCAGACATACAGGCTCCAGCTCTATTTCTGTAGAACATTATTTACATGACCTTGGAAAACCCTTAATATTTTGGTTTCACTATCTCTAAGAGAAAGTCACTGAATTGGTGACCTAGTAAAGCTCCTTCAAATTTGCAATTAAATGAAAGTAACTTTTAAACTCATGCAAAATAAGATTTTACAGTTTTTGCCAGGCATTCTGTTCGAAGAATCAAGTTCATAAACCTTACAAAATTTGTGTGACTATGAACGAAAATTATTATACTTTAAAATGATACAAGAACTAGCAGAAAGACATTATTTGCCTTGCAAAGAGAAAAAGTTGAGAATACACCCCTACGTCCTAGATCCTTTAGAAGGTAATTACAGTTCTCCAAATTTCACATCCAGTGTTTCCGTGAAGTCAGACCTTTGGACCTATTTCTACATAAGACCAAACAGGGGTGGGGGTGGGGGGCGGGGAGGGGAAAGAGCTGCAGTTTTTATGTATTTATTTTAGGTTAGACGTTCGATTAGGGGAGGTTGAAAGCTTGCAGTATTCCTCATAGAGCGCTCAGCAGTTTCCGGATCAGTTCACTGACTGAACATGAAGGGACAGACAACTGGGGATGAAAGATCGTTTCGTGTATATAACTAGGCCAAGTAAAAAGGGTATAGCCTCAACTGCAGGAAAGGGGGATCGTGGGACTGCAATCCCTAGTTTACTATTTATTTCCCCTGCAGGTTGTGCAGCCGGGAAAGTGAAGTCGCTGCACCCGCAAGTAGTTGAGCACTCGCCCAGCGCTTGCTGGCCGGACCTGTCAGTTACAGCCGGTCAGTTACACCCAGCCAGCAAGACCCACAAATCTGACAATGCCTAGAAACCCTTAATAATGTAGGAAGCTGCTTCCTGCGACAGCCCTCCCGACGCTTCACTCCCAACTGCAGAAGGGATGGAATCCGCCCACGCCCCACGCAGGCACAGGACTCGCGTGGCGTGATTGTCTTCTCGGTTGGAGTGGCGTTCCTGGTTGGGCGTAACTGCCGCGCCCAGGCAGCGTCCGCCCCAACCCCGGCACCAGTCAGCACACTGGATGGCGGGTGGGGGCGTGGTCGGAAAAAATCTGGCGGCTCCCGGCACATCCCGTTGCCAGGCGATGGGGTAGGAGGCGGGGCCGACTAGAAGAAGAGCGGCGTGGGGGTGGGGGCCGCGCAGCCGCCCTTGTTCGCTCCCGGCCGTCGCGCCCTAATCGGCGCGGTGCTCCGCCTCCACCCTCCACCCGGGCTGCGCACGCGTGGCTCGCGGTGGGGCTGCGCGTCCGGCACCGGTGGCGCGCCAGTCACAGCCTCCTCGGAGCCGGTGAACCGAGCGGTCTCGAGGGAAGGGCGAGGCAGGGAAAACGAAGGAAGAAGGAGCTCGGGGAGCGGCCGCCAAGTCCACCGCGGCGGAGAAAAATGGTGTTCGAGTCGGTGGTCGTGGACGTGTTGAACCGGTTCTTGGGGGACTATGTGGTGAACCTGGACAAGTCCCAGCTCTCTCTGGGCATCTGGGGAGGTAACGAGACCGCGCTGTCCCCCTCTCTAGTTCCCGTCCGGGCCTTGCCTTCTTAGGGCCTCGGGCTCCGTGTACGCCCGGAGCCGCCACCTGCCGCTGCTTTTTTCGGGGTCAAATTACGTAAAACTCTCGGCAGTTCTGGGGCTGCTGCCGGCGAGTTTAAATTTCGGGGCAGGAGTGGAAGGGGTCGTGGGTGCGGGGTGTAAAGCCCCCCTTGTTTCGAGCTGGGCTCCGCAGTGGGCGCTAAGGTGCTGGAGTTCAGATTCCGACCAGGTGCCCTGTTCCGCCCCGTGTGGTCTGCTCAGCGGTGCTGGGCGCGGGGGGCGACGAGACGCACCTGCGCTGGTGCTGGGCCTGGTCATTTCCCCTCCTGGGGTTGTGACGGAGTCGGGGGGAGCCCTGGCGCGGCCGCACGCTGCCCTGCACGTGAGGGCCGGTCGCTAGGACCGAATATGTCCTCTTCTCTCACCCCACCCCCTCAGCGCCTCGCCGCGACTCCTCAACCCCATCCCTGCCAGCCTCTTGCGGTGGCTAACCCCAGAGGTTCTCTGGTCTCCCCCTTCCGTGCCAGCCTCCGGGACTCTGGGCTGCTGGGCTGAATTCGCTGAGAATAAAATGGGAAACTCGCGTGCACATTAATTCAAACGGTCGCATGTGTGATTTCAATTTACAGCCTGACTCAGGGGCGTGTAACACGGAAATATGGGTCAGTGCAAATGACTTGAGTATTTTAAGAAACTTGGTGCGCTGCGCAACAGACATCTCAGTCCTGCCAAAGACTGGGAGGAACGTGCACTTCAAGGTTGCTTAGATGCTGACAGAAGCCATACTCTGTGCGCGCTTACTCTGGTGTAGCTTTTTTTTTGAGCCTCATTTTTTTTAGTGCTTCCACCTGTTTGTTAAATACTTAAATTGGAAACACCGGTTAGAAATTAGTCTTTTTCTCAATGAAACAAATCTTCCCTGGCCAAAGTGAGGGTTAGTTTTTTGTTAAGTGTGTGTGTGTATGAAAGTGTTAATTGGCAATTTAGTTTGATACTTTTGCTTGTTCTGTTGGTATCTAGTGCCTTGGTAGAGTGTTTGCAGGAACTGGAGATACTCGTGCTAATTGAGCATCTCACTAATACCAGACACTTGCATTTTGTTTAGTTTGTGCTGTTTCCCACTGAAAGAGAACATAATAACACTTGTTAACACCTACCTCAAAAGAAGGTCGTGTTTTCCGTATGCTTTGAGTTGTAGTGGAAGTTTCTATACATTCAGGGGAGAGGTATGTGTAGGAAATCAATGGATTTGTATAAAATTTACATACAGTAAAATCGTGAATTACAGTCCTTACAAAAAAAAAAAAACTGCAAGAAGGCATGTACCAATCATCACAACAAAGAGTTAGAAAAGTTCCATCAGGGCCCCCAAGTTTTCGCTATTAGTCCCTTTGTAATTTTTCCTAGTCCTCCGCCCTTTTAGTAACCATTGACTGGTTCTTAAATCCCTAAGTTGTTTTGCCTTTTTAAAGAGTGCATGGTATTCAGTTTTGGGGGCCTAATTTCTTTTACTTCACTCCTTTCACCTACACAAATGGCATTTGAGGGTCATCCATGTGTTGTCCCAATAGTTTTTCATGCCTGTATTTTTGGGTAGTGGTTTATTATATGGGTGTACTATAAATGTTTATCTGTTCACTGAATGAAGGGCATTTCAGTTTTTATTGGTCATAAATTGAGCTGTTGTAAACATTTATTATAGGCCTTTTTGTGAGTGAATTTTTATTTCTCTTAGGTAGACCCGAATAGTGGGGTTGCAAAAGTAGTATGTTAGATAATGAGAGACTTCAGGACTGCTTGTCACAGTGGTCATAGCATTTTGTAATTGCATCAGCATTTCATGAGTTGGGTTTGTTCTGAACCCTCATTAGTATTTTCATGGAGAAGACTAAAAAGCCTTTCTAACAACCATTTGTTAAATATTGTGGTTTGAATTCGCATACTCTTGGTGATGAAAGATGTTGCGTATCTTCATGATTTTCTTTGCTATTTGTATATTTTAACTTGGTGAAATGTGTTCAGATCTTATACTCATTTTAAATTGGTGTTTTTCCTATTTTATTCACAGATGGTTAGTCTCAGTAAATTTTTTAAAAAGATTTATTTATTTGTAACTGGGGTACAGGCTGGAGTTCAGGGGCAGTGAGAGGATTCACCAGAGACAGAGTGGGAGCATAATAGGCAGATCAAGGAAGTACACTGCTGAGGGGAGCAGCGGGCAGGCCATGTGGATCACCTCCCGGGCTGGCGGGGCTCGAACTCTCGTGGAAGTGGCTTTATTTAGCTTGTTAGTGCTGTGCCACCAGGGAGGGCTCTCTTATTAAATTTTTAAAAAACTTTAAACAAATTTTACAGATACACCATTTATTTACAAAACTGTACTTTAGGGAGTATAGCTTCACACCATATGTGATGATACTTCATTCACCCACCGTAAGGGTTCTAGTGCCATGTAAACATTTAACATCACCTCCTTCGTCCATTCTGATAACCACCCGTTTTCAAAGTTAAGAGTTAATTTTGGTGTTTTGACACTTTAATTTCTTCTGTTATCTATAGTCCCAAGGGAAAGAAACCATTTAGTAATTGTGTTTCACTTTCTGACTTACTTCACTTTAGCATAGTCACCTCAAGTTCCATCGATGTTGCTGCAGGAAGCAAGATAGCTTTTTTTTTTTTTTAAAATGAGCAGTACTCCATTGAGTATATATACAACAATTACTTTATCCAGTTGTTAGTAAATGGACATTTAGGTTGATTACTTGTTGTGGCTGTTGTAAATAATTCTGCTGTGATCATATAATAATGCTTTTGTATTCTTCAGATCAATATGGTGCTTTTGCTGGGTCATATGGTATTGCTATTATGCATTTTTATGGTTTCACATCATAACAAGTCATTACATTAATTTTTGTGTCTAGTGTTGATGATCTAGGTGGAAACAACTCAAATATCTATGAACACATGAATGGCTAAACAAACTGATTTATTCATTAGTATGTAACTACATTTTTTCCCCATACCTATCCATATATCCAGTATTCATATTTATATATTATATAGAAGGAAATACACAAATCTTGAGGGTACTCTGAAGTTTGTGTACAAATATATACATGTGTAACATAAATCCTGTCAAGATACAGAATGGGATCAACCCAGAAATTTCTTCTTGATTCCAGCCAATCCTTGCCCCCTATCCATAGAGGCATTCAGTATTCTGTTGCTTTTTAAATGCATACTTTTTCCTGATTTTTTTTTTATTTAGGTATGTGTTGGGTTTTGTAAAATGATTTTGTTGACTCTGTTGATAAGGATTTTTCTTAGCCTGTTGATGTAATGAATTATATTAATTGGCTTTTGAATGTTGAACAAGCATTTACATCTGGAATGAATTCTACTTGGTCATGGTATATAATTTTTATATTTGATTAATTTTTCTGAGAATTTTTGTATTTATGTTTATCAAAGAGAGTGATCTGTAGTTTTTATTACAGGGTTGTTCTCTGATTTTGCTGTCAGAATTATGCTGACTTTACATGAGCTAGGTAGTCTTTCTGCTTCCATTTTCTGGAGAAATTATAAAGCATTAGTATCATTTGTCCTTAAGTGGTTGGTAGAACTTTAGTAAAATCATCTGAGCACTATTCTTTTAGTATTAAAAGATAATTATTGATTTAATGTCTTTAAAATTAATAGATGCAGGCCTATTCAGATTACTTTTTTGTGAGTATTGATAGAATTTATCTTTCAAAGAATTATTACTTTAAATTGTAACATTTGTGGGTATGTTAATCTTTTTTATATTGTAAATGTCAATTATTACAGTGGTATGATGGCCTTTCCTTTCCTTTCTGATATTAGTAATTTGTCTCTTCCTTAGTTCATATGGCCTTGAGAGTTACCAAGTTTATTGCTCTTTCAAAACCATCTTTTGTTTTCATTGATGTTTCTCTTTATTTTTCAGTATTGAATTTTATTGATTTCAGTTCTAATTCTTATTACTTAGGATTTAACTTGCTTTTTCTTAATTAGATTTCTAAGGTGAAGGCTTAGATTATTGATTTTGAAACATGTTTATTGAGATAATACTGATTTACAACACTGTACAATCGGGGTATAGTTTCACACCTCTACGAAGATATGCTCACACCATACCTATCACTAAGGCCCTTGAAACCTCCACCATAGTCCATTGAACCCTCTCTCCCCTTTGATCCCAACTCCCTTTCCCCCTACCCCCCACTTGGTAAAATCAGTTTTGCTGTCAGATTTCAAAGGTTTATTTTTTATCTGTACCTTAGCTTTTTTTCTTAATTGAGGTAACATTTGTTGACAATGTTGTGTATGATTTAGAGGCATAGAATTACACCTTTCAGGTGTATGTTACCACATCACACCAACCATCAAGGCACCAGAAATCCTCCACCATAGTCCATTGTACTCCCTCCCCATTTTGTCTTCTCCTCCCCCTCTGGTAGCCTCAGTTTTACAATCTGAATTCTAACATTTGTTTTAGTGTGATTTTATTTTACCCTTTATTTCAGTTCCCTATAATATAAGTGATACCATCTGGTATTTGTCCTTCTCCTTCTGACTTACTTTGCTTTGCATAATAAGCTCCCATTGCATCCATGTTACAAATAGCATGAATTTATCTCTCTTGATAGCTGAGAAATACTCCATTATGTGTACATACTACATCTTCCTAATTCACTCATCAAAGATATCCCTGAAGTCTTACACCCAATGGTTTGGGCATTTACACTATTTCTATATCTTGGCTATTATGCGTGTGTGTTTGTGTGCACACGCGCATGTGTATATCTACTGCGAATGTGTATATCCTTTCAAGTTAATATTTTTGCCTTCTCTGGATTGACACCTTGGAGTGGAATTGATGAATCATAGCTGTTTTTTTTGTTTGTTTGTTTGTTTTTTTAATGTTCTGGGAAA